GAGATTTATTGTATTACAAAATTGTTTTAGTGGAAATCGTTACAGCATTTTGCTTTGAGTCATGGTAACATTACCTGGTTAAGAGCTTCCATTTATGACCTGTCAAAACATGAGGGTATGAAATTAATGGATGTCAACTTGTACAATATCATACAATATCAGGAACAAAAGGTTCCATCCACCTGATAAAGACTAAGCAGGGCTCCAGATAAAGGCCGTATCGGCATATGTACGCATAAAAAATATGCATGATACGGTAGGAAATAATTTAGAAAACGTAGCACATACGCACCACAGCAATGCTGTACGGTCTTGGAATCATTTACAGACGTATTTATCTGAAAGAGTGTTGTTTTATTGTTTATTGACCTGTTTGCACAAGAGTAGTAATGTTGTGGTGCATATATGAAACGAAACACAAGATTACTGATACGCCATTAAATTCCATTCAGTACTCAAAATGTACTCCTATATTGAAAAGTTTATCCAGTACTCCTATATTGAAAATTTATCTGGAAAATAAGCATATAGTTTGAAACATTGCATTTCACATACCACATGATGTTGACAATAAATTTCTCTCTCTTAAGCATTTCACTTTGATGTCTGAAGATTAACATCTAATTGTAGTTTGGAACCTGCCTCGCATTTCACATTACATTCTTTACTGGTAAGTCCACTAACCATTAATTGACATGTGTCAATAGAGGTGAATTATGCTCCATGTTCATGATGCATTTCTACTTTAGCACAAGAACAAAATGTCACTAGTCACTGAAGACTAGACCCAATGTAAATATACATGAACTCTTCAAAGAAATCTATCAATGCCACTGAATAATAATTTCTGGGTTGATACTGATGCCCTGAAAAAATGTCTTCCTCTCTCTCACTCTCTGTGTGTGTCAGAGAGAGAGAGAGAGAGAGAGAGAGAGAGAGAGAGAGAGAGAGAGAGAGAGAGAGAGAGAGAAAGAAAAAAAAAAAGACAGTAAGGGTAGCCTAGTGGTTAAAGTGTTTGTTTGTCACTGCCGAAGACCCGGGTTTGATTCCCCACATGATGGGTACAATTCTGGCCATTTCTGGTGTCCCCTGGCATGATATTGCTGGAATATTGCTAAAAGTGGTGTAAAACCAAACTCACTCACTCACTAAATCATGAATTCCCTACACCAAACTGGCAATACAGCTGTTCTTGTATTCAGTTTGCTGCATGTTTGTAAACTACTCCAGTATGTATTTATGAGGAAACAACAACCTTCAAGACCAGCTTGTTATGTTTGAGTTGCCAGTACTCCTGTATAATGAACATAATATACTGAACCCTAAAATGTAGTATTTAATTGGAATCCCCCCAAAACTGTACTTCAATATAATGTGGTACAGGTATTTATATGCATTGCAATACATTGGGAATGTTTGACAATATCTCACACATTGACAGTAATGACACTGTACATGCAGATTCAATTTTCCATATACAAAAGTAAATATTACTCTGCATGGTCTATCACCACCTGTTTGTCACCATGAGTACAAAAGATATATCATGAGAGCAAAATTATTTCCACATTTTCAATATTCAATTAATATTGCTTTTTGGAAAATACATGCAATATGTGTTGTTTGAAAAGCATTTGGTAATATACCCAACACTGCAGTCTGAAGTTATTCTTGCCACCTGTAGAACAATTAGACTCTCTCATTCAGGCAAGCAGGCTAATTTTAAGAGGAATCTCTGCAGGTGGTTATAAGGTTTGAAACTACAAAGAAATCAAAATACAGTCGTGCTTCTGATTGATATGTGTCGGTGACTACTGAAAACACACAAATAACCTTCCATCTGACTTACCGGTTATCGTGTTCGAAATCAATATTTTTGTGCTATCTTTCTGTTTCTGATACCTAGCTTTGGTGATGTAATAAATGTTAACTTAAGATTAGACTTTCTCAGTAAAGTACAAATTATACAAATTGGAAGCCTTGGTGCCTTAATGAGTGAGATTCCTCACTTGGAAAAGTAGGTGCCTCACACTGAGAGTGTGGGTCTGAATCCCAATGAGACAACCACAAGAAGTACTATAATTTATACCTTACTGAAAAACTGGAATCCCAAATATAACCCTTGTTACACTTGATCACTTTCTAAAGGGCACTGTGTATTCAGAGCATACAAATATATAGGTGTGCCACTGCCTATTTTTTATAGCTGCCATTGACATGCATTATTAATTTTGAGTCCACAGTCAGAGAAAGCACTTGAATTTGTCGATTCTTGAAGTAGAATCAGTTTGCCCATCGCGGTCAGTTGATTCTACTTTTGCAATCAATATATCCTCATGATTTCTCCATTAAAGAGCTCATTATGAGCTCATTGTTTTCAGTGTCAATTGACAATATCAGTCATTTCACTGATGAGTCCACACATCTAGGCATGGATGTAGTTGCTTCAATCACAATACAGGGTAATTTTAGTGGATAATATTACAAATTAAGATCTCATTCAGAGACTAAAAGTTTAGATGTTAAAAGTACTACACTGTCAATATTTAGCAAAATTTGGCCACTCCTGTTGACTTCCATGTTATTTCAGTGTAGAAATATACAATACACAGGATTACTTGTGAATATGAACAATTTGACACAAAGATCAACTTATCATGATGGTGCTAATTGTAATCACTAAATGATGTAACAAGTATAACACTATAATGTAAACATGGTAAATGTAGCAGAGATGACCTTGCTATGCTGAAAATATATTTAGTGAATGGAAGAATGGAAGACTGACAACAATTTATCATGAAGGGGAGCTCTTATCTTTCAAATTCATGATTTTGTGTAGAGACCTCTTGAGTCATGAGATAATAGTGATCGCCAAAGAGGCCAATATTCATCCTTAAAACTGCAGCATAAGTCAGTACAAATTCCGAATTTGGAGCAAAAGGACTATTTCATATAGTAATGACTAATGATGTTTGTGAAGGTAAAGACATATTTCACTGATAAAAGAATTGACTTTTCACATTTCAGGTTATATAAATATGGGCACACTTTGCATAAATCTGCTATGCTAATTCACAGACTGGTTTTTACATTCACTTCTCCATAAAAACATATTGGTGGTAATTTTTAGGAATAAACATTGCAAAATTAATTTCACCAACTACATATTCAATAACTAAAACAAACAAAACATTAAACAATGCAATGAACTAAATGAAGTGGTTCAGAGCAATAAAGCAACAACATCCTGCTCATTCTCTTTATGTCTTAGTTAGGGGTTATAGCTAAAACGGAACCACGCCAAAACGGTACTAACCAAAACGGAATCAAATTGGCGAAAACGGAACCTTGACTTGGCGAAAACGGAACCATAAAAATTTTATCAATTAAATATTAGCTCTAAATTAAATGTATAAATAAAACTTTACGTTGCCTATGTATAATATTGGCAACGTTGTATAATAACTAAGTGCTCAACGATAATGATTTAAAATGGATACTTGCTGTTGACATGGTTGACTCTTCCATTCACATCTATCGGCTGACCAAATAAACTTGTCTCTTCTCAAAACATTAAGAACTTGTTGTTTTTAATGCAGTTATTAGTTTATTCTTGGTACTTAATGCACAGGCTACAAGTATAAACATGTTACTTATCAAAACATTTCATAAACACTAGTTAATGAACTATTATTCCAAAGAAAACAGCGGCGTCTTTGATGGGTTGACAAGCTTCATTAAAACAACAACTCATGACTGCTCTGTTACAACTCAATGTCATGATACATGCTATATAAAACGTGGTCATTCGTCAAAATGTACAAGCGACAATGGCTGTTAGGTGCTTGACTTGCGAGAAGACTGTCCGTCGAAATCAACACGCTATCACTTGTGATGGATGCGGAGGATGGACACACAGGACCTGTGGCACTGGCCTCAGCGTCCAGAGATACAGGGAGATTTGTTCAAGCGGCGAGGACTACCCCTTCCTTTGCAGTAAATGTTCAAGGCCCTAGATACAATTGATGAACTCAGCCAGCTGCTCTCCAGGTGTGCCATGATCCACGGACCAGTCATCCAATGAAAACGTGATGCAGAACTAGTGAACTGTTATTGATGCGATAAACTGATCGTGTTAAATAAAAAAAAAAAAACTAGTAGTGTTTTGGTGTAATGTGGTTCCGTTTTCGACAGAGAAAATTGGTTCAGTTTTCGCCAGAGTGGTTCCGTTTTCGCCAATTGGTTTTTGGTACCGTTTTGACGCGGTTCCGTTTTAGCCTGCACCCTTAGTTAGTGTGGGATAAATCATTTTTCAATTTATGGAAACAAATGCAAAACAACCCTCTAAATTAGCCAAACAATCACCATGGAATCACTTGCAATATATTTTTAACACCACCAATAAAGAAGCCTAAATGCTGAACCTAACATTATTGCATTCAGTAGAATTCTTCTAAATTTATGAAAATAAAAGCGTACCATAACTCCTTATTTTAAAGAGGAAATAGCGTAGCATCTCCATCCCCTTTTAAAGTGACTGCCATGTGCACATTTCGGAATCGCAGATGAATCCGTGTTGTTGATGTAAAATCAATAGACATTCCAGGGCAAAGACTCAATAGTCATGTGCCAAAGTGAAGCCTGTGTACTGGTTTCAATAATTAACACGAAACAGTACCATGGCGATTCTAATCACGATAACACCTAACAGTACAAGTCAACATTGTTTAGACCTATTTCGCTTCTCCAGAACTAAAAGAAGTTCAGATTAAATTAACAATAATGCCTTTATTCATATTCCTTTTCCAAGTCACACAGTGAAACGATTTCATAAAAGTAAAACACATAAACTAAGAATATCAGCTGCAAATAAGATTCTCCATTTCGCAATACAGACACCGGCACGGGCAGCTAGCAGACGATATGCCTGAACCGGTACCTTCATGCAACAGGATTCATCTCGATGATGCACCGTCCAAGAAAAGCAGATTACTTACCGACAGCCACGAGAAAGAGTTTGTAGACAATGCCCCATGAGTTTCCATTTTCCTTCTCCCTCTCTCTTGACTCAGAAGACCTGTTGTACTTGCTTTTACCATGCTTAAACGAACTACGATGATCGCCGGTAGATCCTTGCCGTCGATTCCCCGCCATCTTGAAACGTCTAATAATGTATATACTATTTTCCTTGAGAAATATTTTACTATCTCGTCCATAAAAAAAAAATACAACCAAACTTCACAGATGCTATTAGCTGTATTGAAAAGCATACGATTTTGTTTCAGTGTCACCAACACATTCTACAAGTTCTATGTTGACTGAGCATCAAAGAATAATAAAATGTCATCATTAATAGCATACCTCGTTGACTAGTCTCGAACAGACATGGGTGGGTTACTTCCCTTGTAACCGGTTTATATGTTGACACAATATAGGTCTCTGCTATCACCTTTTCAGTGTTAAAGACTGTGTTGTAAAACCCGTCTTTCAGACACTCTCCCTGCCGCTTGGTGACAACAATGAAACCCAACTGTGCAGTATATTTGCTGACTTTGCTCTAACGTTAGAACAGAGCAGAAGAACATTTTATTACCTTCAAGCCACTATCTGTGGCATATGAAGCTCAATGTATAATATTATTCAACAAAATGCATGGTGGAAGGACATTTGTCTATATTTACGTCCATACTAACTCAAAAATATCGTTTAAAGGATAGAGGAAAGTATTTGTTTATCTAGAGGGATGGCAGCTTAGCTTAAGGAAAGAAAAAGGTTTACAGTACAGATTTGTTCTTACGTTGAAAAAGAGTACCAAGGTGAATGAATATAAAAGTATGGCGACAACATGTTTTTTCTATATTCGCTAAAGTAATCGCAACTCAAAAGTGCATGGTATTCGTCATCAACGTAGTTTTTCTAACACAGGTTACGGGTTCGTTCCATTAAGGGTATATTATTCAATCTGCCTAGTTCAACTGTAGGGGCGGTGGGGTAGCCTAGTGGTTAAAGCGTTCGCTAGTCACGCCGAAGACCCGGGTTCGATTCATCAGATGGGTACAATGTGTGAAGAGCCTTTCTGGTGTCCCCCGCCGTGATATTGCTGGAATATTGCTAAAAGCGGCGTAAAACTAAACTCACTCACTCACTCACTCAACTGGTAATCTGTGACATGATGTCCTAAATTCAATAAATGTATACCACTGGCTTTTTAGGGAGCTTACTAAGCTACTGTTCAAATGAGTGCTCGGATTTAAGGATTAACTCACAGAGAAAAATTGGTAAAATTGGGAGGGTGTGGAGACATTGATCTTATAGGAGTTCTTGTATCCTATTTTACTCCAGTTTTATGTAATATTTTAATAATAAACAGTTCCAAGTCTTTAAATGCTTCAAATTGGGAATTCAGACTTTAATGCGATCCATGTATGTTTAGAATCATTGCACAATGTTTATTTACGTTTACAGTCGTACATATAGTTATTAAATGTAAGAGAAATCTGAATACACAATATATTTACCTGTTTCTGTTTTCAACAACTGCGATAGAAATTGGAAGCATTTGTGATGGGTGTTAATTGGCATTATATAACAGTAGCTGACAACTCGTCGATTACCAAATTATGCGAAGCCAGCCAAGAATATGTAGTGACTGTAACAACCTGCTTATGAGGAGGTGATAGTGATTTATTGAATGTAAGGGGCGGTGGGGTAGCCTAGTGGTTAAAGTGTCCGCTCGTCACGTTGAAGACCCGTGTTCGATTCCCCACATGGGTAGAATGTGTAAAGCCCATTTCACTAAAAGCCACAAAAGATAATTACTTACTCACTGGATAAGCCACACACCGAAGCGTGTTAAATAACATGCAAATTCAGAGAAGTGAACGATCTGCCTCTGCTACTATTACATGCGGCAATATTCTGTGAATGTGTATGTTTAGCATTAACACCGACTGAAACATATACACATAATTTCAAATACAATATTCCGTGTGGAAAACACTATATCGATCAATGCGAAAATATTGATAGTAACGAAAGCGTGTATTTCGTTTTAAGATCAAGACATTTATCTCATTTGATTTTTATGAAAAAAGCTTTGGTAAATTGTCAAATCTATTAACAAAATCAGTGTTTGATTAAAATATACTACGGGTCGAGTGTTGCCATATTTGGAAGTTTCCGGACAGTATCCTAGCGACGGTGTAGTTTACAGTCGTTCGGAAACATGGCGGCCTCCACATGAAAACAAGCACCTGCTCTCCGTGGTCGCTTAGTTTAGTTGGCATTATTGCTAATCAAAAACACAACAGCAGATTGTGATATCATTTTCTCTTGAGCGGAAGGTTGAGAGCGAGTAAGAAGACACAATGGCAGAGGTTTTAGAGGCAGGGCTTGTTTTGTCAGACTCTAATTTTAGAGCTAGACCGAACTTTAGAACATATTTGTCTTCAGATGCCAGTTTAGGTGGCAATGCTGTCAGGCAAATTGAAGAAAAAAGACGAGTCCGACAAATGAAATTTCCAAGCCTCAGGGGTAAGCGTGATTACGATTCCTTCCAGGAGAGCACAAAAGAAAATGGAGCATTTAAAAAATGGAATGATGACGGTGACTTTCGAGCACCTGCTCCTTACAGAAGCTGTGACAACATCTTGGACCCTGTGTCTGGCTTTGTGAGTGTAGGAGGTGATGTTGATAGGAATACTGGACACACTCAAATACGATCACTTGTTCAGCTCAACGACACACCAAATTCAGGTACACCAAAAGGGAAGAATTCTGATCGAGTCAGTGAGCCAGCAGCCCCTCCCGAGCTTCGGAGATCTCATACATATGCACCCGGTGCCCCCACACCGTGGAACAGTAGAAAAATATCTGATGCTTGGATACGAGCTCAGCTTGGAGGTAAACCATTGTTTTTGCTGAACCAGATATAACTGCAACCATTAGGCAATAAACATATTTGATTATGTCATGTACATAATTCCTATCATAAGTCCAAATACAGTGGATACAGTCACAGGGGCTTGTAACGCTAAAAACTGACACCTTTAGTGACAGTACATACCTTGATGGCAGTTTTTAGCGTTACAAGCTCCTGTGGATACAGTGTTGGCCATGAAATGCTCCTTGTTACTATTCTGAATATATTTGTGGCTATATTGAGTGATTTTCATCTTATGGTAGAAATCAAATCTACAACAAGAGGGTGAGTGAATGAGTGAGTATGGTTTTACGCCGCTTTTAGCAATATTCCAGCAATATCACGTCTGGGGACACTAGAATTGGGCTTCACACATTGTGCACATGCGGGGAATCAAACCCGGGCCTTCGGTGTGAAGAGCGGACACTTTAACCATTAGGCTACCTCTGCATTTATTTAAAAAGAAGACCTGTGAATGTCCAGGTTAGAATATTGATCTTCAGTAACCCATGCTTGTCGTAAGAGGCGACTAACGGGATCGGGTAGTTGGCTCTGACTTGGTTGACACATGTCATCGGTTCCCCAATTGCGCAAATCGATGCTCATGCTGTTGATCACTGGATTGTCTGGCCCAGACTCGATTACATGCATTTACAGACCGCAGCCAATTAGCTGGAATATTGCCGAGTGTGGTGTAAAACTAAACTCACTCACTCATTTAAAAAGAAAATATATTACTACCCATAAACTATTTTCTCAAAATGTTCATGAAATTTAGATGATAACTTCAATGTAATAGATAACATGAACATGACTGCTGTTCTTTAGGATGGACTAGTGATTATGACCCCAGGAAAACACCCCCAGAGGAACTTCGGTCAAAGGTATTTATTACATGAAAAGTAGACATGATAGTTTAAGACATAATCTAACTAAACTACACTTTAACATAATTGATTAAACTGCAGTTTTATTTAAGAATATAAAAAAGGTGACAGCTTTAAATAAAAACATAGTAACACCTAAAGTTATATTTGTGAATATTATGATATATGAAATACGTTTGAACTTTTGTCTTATAGTTTGTTGCTGTTGATTGTTTTTCAGTCGATGTTTGTAGCCAAGCCTCCATCAGAACTCAGTAAAGGGGGCAGAGACCACCTGGCTCTTAGGTACATGTATGGATCTTCCACTCAGAGGTCAGTCAAGCACTTGTTTTACTTTTAGTTACGTCATACATTTAATATTTTTATGTTTACAAATTTCAGAAATTGTTAAAGTTTCTCTTTCAAATTTATAAAATACATTTTTCTGTTTTATCTATGTTTTCTTGTCAACCTTGGATCTGTGAAAATAGATTTTATGCCATTGAACAGCATCAGATTGATGTGGTCAGCAGATCTGTAACCTGAAAGACTGACTGACTGAGTTTGGTTGTACGCCGCTTTTAGCAATATCCCAGCAACATCACGGCGAGTGACACCAGAAATGGGCTTCACACAATGTACCCATGTGGGGATTCGAACCCGGGTCTTAGTGATGAGCCAACGCTTTAGCCACTAGGCTACTCCACCGGCCCGTAACCGGAAAGAATACATGTACACAATGTATAGGAAATCTGTTGTTTTCAATTGATCAGAATGTTCAGTTGCAAATTGCTTGCATGTTCTTTTCAAATTGACAATAAATTTTTATCATTCCTTCAATCATTCATACGCAACAGTCTTATATCATTTTCAGTCTGTTCAGAAAATGTATGAGTCCTCTTTTATTATAGGTTGATTTAAATGTCACCATATTGATTATTGACTGTAATTAACTGAATTAGAACTGATGAAAGGAATTTATGCATAGACTTATGACTAGTTGCTAAATTGAATATTTTGTATTTTCAGAGGCTATGAGGAGCTGCCGTGGGACTCCATGCTGGCCCCCAAGATGTGGCAACCTGTCTCCGCCATGGAGCACAAACCAGACATGATCTCACAGCGATGGAGCTTGAAGAAATACGATCCTGCTGCTCAAGAGTGGCAGGTGGGAGATTAGTAGGATATGTATTAGTGGCTGTGTTTGTGGTTGTATTAGGGTTGTATAAGTAGTTGTGTTTGTGGTTGTATTAGGGTTGTATAAGTGGTTGTGTTTGTGGTTGTATTAGGGTTGTATAAGTGGTTGTGTTTGTGGTTGTATTAGGGCTGTATAAGTGGTTGTGTTTGTGGTTGTATTAGGGTTGTATAAGTGGTTGTGTTTGTGGTTGTATTAGGGTTGTATAAGTGGTTGTATTAGGGTTGTATATATGTGTGTGTGGTTGTATTAGGGTTGTATAAGTGGTTGTGTTTGTGGTTGTATTAGGGTTGTATAAGTGGTTGTGTTTGTGGTTGTATTAGGGTTGTATAAGTGGTTGTGTTTGTGGTTGTATTAGGGTTGTATAAGTGGCTGTGTTTGTGGTTGTATTAGGGTTGTATAAGTAGTTGTGTTTGTGGTTGTATTAGGGTTGTATAAGTAGTTGTGTGTTTGTGGTTGTATTAGGGTTGTATAAGTGGTTGTGTTTGTGGTTGTATTAGGGTTGTATAAGTGGTTTGTGTTTGTGGTTGTATTAGGGTTGTATAAGTGGTTGTGTTTGTGGTTGTATTAGGGTTGTATGTGGTTGTGTTTGTGGTTGTATTAGGGCTGTATAAGTGGTTTCTGTTTGTGGTTGTATTAGGGTTGTATAAGTGGGTGTGTTTGTGGTTGTATTAGGGCTGTATAAGTGGTTGTGTTTGTGGTTGTATTAGTGGTTGTATTTGTGGTTGTATTAGTAGGGTTGTATAAGTGGTTGTGTTTGTGGTTGTATTAGGGTTGTATAAGTGGTTGTGTTTGTGGTTGTATTAGGGCTGTATAAGTGGTTGTGTTTGTGGTTGTATAAGTGGTTGTATTAGGGTTGTATAAGTGGTTGTGTTTGTGGTTGTATTAGGGTTGTATAAGTGGTTGTGTTTGTGGTTGTATTAGGGTTGTATAAGTGGGTGTGTTTGTGGTTGTATTAGGGTTGTATAAGTGGTTGTGTTTGTGGTTGTATAAGGGCTGTATAAGTGGTTGTCTTAGGGTTGTATAAGTGGTTGTGTTTGTGGTTGTATTAGGGTTGTATAAGTGGTTGTGTTTGTGGTTGTATTAGGGCTGTATAAGTGGTTGTGTTTGTGGTTGTATTAGGGTTGTATAAGTGGTTGTATTAGGGTTGTATAAGTGGATGTGTTTGTGGTTGTATTAGGGTTGTATAAGTGGTTGTGTTTGTGGTTGTATTAGGGTTGTATAAGTGGTGTTTGTGGTTGTATTAGGGTTGTATAAGTGGGTGTGTTTGTGGTTGTATTAGGGTTGTATTAGTGGGTGTGTTTGTGTGGTTGTATTAGGGCTGTATAAGTGGTTGTGTTTGTGTAGGGTTGTATAAAGTGGTTGTGTTTGTATTAGGGTTGTATAAGTGGTTGTGTTTGTGGTTGTATTAGGGTTGTATAAGTGGTTGTGTTTGTTGGTTGTATTAGGGTTGTATAAGTGTATAAGTGTGTGTTTGTGGTTGTATTAGGGTTGTATAAGTGGTTTGTTTGTGTTTGTGGAGTTTGTGTTTGTGGTTGTATTAGGGCTGTATGTTTGTGGTTTGTATTAGGGTTGTATAAGTGGTTGTGTTTGTGTTTTGTATTAGGGCTGTATAAGTGGTTGTGTTTGTGTGTATGTATTAGGGTATGTATAAGTGGTTGTGTTTGTGGTTGTATTAGGGTTATATAAGTGGTTGTGTTTGTAGTTTGTATTAGGGTTGTATAAGTGGTTGTGTTGTGGTTGTATTAGGGTTGTATAAGTGGGTGTGTTTGTGGTTGTATTAGGGTTGTATATAGTGGTTGTGTTTGTGGTTTGTATTAGGGTTGTATAAGTGGTTGTGTTTGTGGTTGTAAGGGTTGTATAAGTGGTTTACATTGTTGTGTGTTTGTGGTTGTATTAGGGTTGTATAAAGTGGTTGTAGTTGTGTGTGTTTGTGGTTGTATTAGGGGTTGTATAAGTATGGTTGTGTTTGTGGTTGTATTAGGGTTGTATAAGTGGTTGTGTTTGTGGTTGTATTAGGGCTGTATAAGTGGTTGTGTTTTGTGGTTGTATTAGGGTTGTATAAGTGGAGTTTTGTGTGTTGTTTGTATTAGGGCTGTATAAAGTGGTTGTGTTTGTGGTTGTATTAGGGTTGTATAAGTGGTTGTGTTTGTGGATTTGTATTAGGGCTGTATAAGTGGGTTTGTGTTGTTGTGGATTTGTGGTTGTATTAGGGGTATTGTATAACTGTATAAGTGGTTGGTGTTTGTGTTTGTATAAGTTGTATTAGGGTTGTATAAAGTGGTTGGATTGTGTTTGTGGTTGTATAAGGGTTGTATAAGTGGATTTGTGTTTGTGGTTGTATTAGGGTTGTATTAGTGGGTGTGTTTGTGGTTGTATTATGGGGTTGTATAAGTGGTTGTGTTTGTGGTTTGTATTAGGGTTGTATGGTTGTGTGTTTGTGGTTGTGGTTGTGTTTGTGGTTGTATTTGGGTTGTATAAGTGGTTGTGTTTGTGGTTGTATTAGGGTTGTATAAGTGGTTGTGTTTGTGGTTGTATTAGGGCTGTATAAAGTGGTTGTGTTTGTGGTTGTATAAGGGTGGTATAAGTGGTGTGTGTGTGGTTGTATTAGGGCTGTATAAGTGGTTGTGTTTGTGGTTGTATTAGGGTTGTATAAGTGGATTTTGTGTTTGTGGTTGTTTAGGGGTTGTATAAGTAGTGGCTGTATAAATGGTTGTGTTTGTGGGTTGTATTAGGGTTGTATAATTGGGTGTGTTTGTGGTTGTATTAGGGCTGTATAAGTGGTTGTGTTTGTGGTTGTATTAGGGTTGTATAAGTGGTTGTGTTTGTGGTTGTATTAGGGCTGTATAAGTGGTGTGTGTTTGTAGTTGTATTAGGGTTGTATAAGTGGTTGTGTTTGTGGTGGTTTGTATTAGAGGCTGTATAAGTGGTTGTGTTTGTACAAGGAGTTGTATTGTGTGTACAACAGGACTGTACCCTAATGCAAGACCAATTGATCACTTGTGTTACTGAATTTTCCCTAAATTTCTTTAAGGTATGGAGAAAGCGGAGAAAATTTAAATCAATTTTTACAATTGCAAAAATCAAATACTATATCTTCAGTTTTAATCATGCTCACAATATTTACCTGAAAATAATTATTATTATAGGATATTTCTATAGTGCACATATGCATGCAACTAGTACATGCTCAAGAAGCTGGTAATTTGTTTTCTGAGAACACATTTGTTTCTTTACGGTAATAGGGAACAAGCAGATCTGTGAAACAAAGAAGTTACATTGGTGATGCCTTGATTCAAACTTTTGATGATACTCAGAAGTGTTTATTTGAATATACATGACACTGTGCAGATTCAACCAAGTTGGAGACAACCCTGATTGTAAAACATGTAGTTGCTTTCAGATCATATCCCTGGATGCAAACAAGGGAGACAAGTCTGTTAACACTATCATGGGAAATGATAAAAGTATGTCATTTATATTCTTGCATATTGTGTTGCTAGGCAACTGGTCGAGGCTGGGACATGTTCCAGATGAGGAGAGGGATATTACAAGGGAGGAACCATATGTTTTGTAAGGATCAACTTGATGAAAGGAATTATATGTCAGGGAATCATAGTGGTGGATCCAGGTTCTGTCACTTGTGCAGTGGTGGATCAGGTTCTGTCACTGTAGTGGTGGATCCAGGTTCTGTCACTGTTTGTGGTTAGTGGTGGATCAGGTTCTGTCAGTGGTTGTTTAGTGGTGGATCCAGGTTCTGTCACTAAGTGGTGGATCAGAGGTTCTGTCCATGTTCTGTCATTATTTAGTGGGTGGATCCAGTGGTTCTGTCATTGTGTGTAGTGGTGGATCCATGTTCTGTCACTGTGAAAGTGGTGGATCCAGGTTCTGTTACTGTTTAGTGGTTGTGATCCAGGTTCTGTCACTGTGTGAGTGGTTGATCCATGTTCTGTCATTTATGTAGTGGTTGATCCATGTTCTCATCTGTCATTGTAGTGGTGGATCCATGTTCTGTCACTGTGTAGTGGTGGATCCATGTTCTGTCAGTGTTTGTGTGTAGTGGTGGATCCAGGTTCTGTCACTTATGTAGTGGTGGATCCAGGTTCTGTCACTGTGTAGTGGTGGATCAGGTGTTCTGTCATGGAATTGTGTAGTGGTGGATCCAGGTTCTGTCACTGCTGTAGAGTGGTGGATCCATGTTCTGTCACTGTTTAGTGGTTGTATAGAAATGGTTGTATGTTTGTGGTTTGTATAAGTGGTTGTATAAGTGGTTGTGTTTGTGGTTGTATAAAGTGGTTGTGTTAGTGGTTGTGTTTGTGGTTGTATTAGGGCTGTATTTGTGGTTGTATTAGGGTTGTATAAGTGGTTGTGTTTGTGGTTATTATTAGGGTTGTATAAAGTGTGTGTTTGTGGTTGTATTAGGGTTGTATAAGTGGGTGTGTTTGTGGTTGTATTAGGGTTGTATAAGTGGTTGTGTTTGTGGATTTGTATTAGGGTTGTATTAGTGGATTTGTGTTAAGTGGTTAGTGTGTTAAGTATAGTGGTTGTATTAGGGTTGTATAAGTGGTTGTGTTTGTGGTTGTATTAGGGCTGTATAAGTGGTTTGTGTTTGTTTTTATTAGGGTTGTATAGGGCTGTATAAGTGGTTTGTGTGGTTTATGTGGTTGTATTAATTTGTAGGGTTGTATAAGTGGTTGTGTTTGTGGTTGTATTAGGGGTTGTATAAGTGGTTGTGTTTGTGGTTGTATTAGGGTTGTATAAGTGGTTGTGTTTGTGGTTGTATTAGGGTTGTATAAATATGGTTGTGTTTGTGGTTTTGTATTAGGGCTGTATAAGTGGTAAAAGTTGTGTTTGTGGTTGTATTAGGGCTGTATAAGTGGTGTTTGTGTGGTTGTGCTGTATAAGTGTTGTTTTGTGGTTGTATAAGTGGGTGTGTTTGTGTGGTTGTATTAGGGTTGTATAAGTGGTTGTGTTTGTGGTTGTATTAGGGCTGTATAAATGGTTGTATTAGGGTTGTATAAGTGGGTGTGTTTGTGGTTGTATTAGGGTTGTATAAGTGGTTGTGTTTGTGGTTGTATTAGGGTTATATAAGTGGTTGTGTTTGTGGTTGTATTAGGGTTGTATAAGTGGATTTGTGTTTGTGGTTGTATTAGGGTTGTATAAGTGGTTGTGTTTTTGGTTGTATGTAGGGTTGTATAAGTAGTTGTGTTTGTGGTTGTATTAGGGTTGTATAAGTGGTTGTGTTTGTGGTTGTATTAGGGCTGTATAAGTAGTTGTGTTTGTGGTTGTATAGGTGGTTGTGTTTGTGGTTGTATTAGGGCTGTATAAGTGGTTGTGTTTGTGGTTGTATTAGGGTTGTATATGTGGTTGTGTTTGTGGTTGTATTAGGGCTGTATAAGTGGTTGTGTTTGTGGTTGTATTAGGGTTGTATAAGTGGTTGTGTTTGTGGTTGTATAAGGGCTGTATAAGTGGTTGTATTAGGGTTGTATAAGTGGTTGTGTTTGTGGTTGTATTAGGGTTATATAAGTGGTTGTGTTTGTGGTTGTATTAGGGCTGTATAAGTGGTTGTGTTTGTGGTTGTATTAGGGCTGTATAAGTGGTTGTGTTTGTGGTTGTATTAGGGTTGTGTTTGTGGTTGTATTAGGGCTGTATAAGTGGTAGTGTTTGTGGTTGTATTAGGGCTATATAAATGGTTGTGTTTGTGGTTGTATTAGGGTTGTATAAGTGGGTGTGTTTGTGGTTGTATTAGGGCTGTATAAGTGGTTGTGTTTATGGTTGTATTAGGGCTGTATAAGTGGTTGTGTTTGTGGTTGTATTAGGGCTGTATAAGTGGTTGTGTTTGTGGTTGTATTAGGGCTGTATAAGTGGTTGTGTTTGTGGTTGTATTAGGGTTGTATAAGTGGTTGTGTTTGTACAAGGAGTTGTATTGTTCACAACAGGACTGTGCCTAATGCAAGACCAATTTGATGACTTGTGTTACTGAATTTTCCCTAAATTTCTTTAAGGTATGAGAAACGAAAATTTAAATCACTTTTAACAGTTGCAAAATCAAATACTATATCTTCACTTAATCATGCTCACAATATTTGCCCGAAAATAATAATTATTATAGGATATTTCTATAGTGCACATATGCATGCAACTAGTACATGCTCAAGGCGCTGGTAATTTGTTTTCTGAGAACACATTTCTCTTTGGTAATAGGGAACAAGCAGATCTGTGAAACAAGAAGTTACATTGGTGATGCCTTGATTCAAACTTTGATACTCAAGAAGTGTTTATTTGAATATACATGACACTGTACAATTCAACCAAGTTTAGACAACCTGATTAAAACATGTAGTTGCTTTCAGATCATATCCCTGGATGCAAACAAGGGAGACAAGTCTGTTAACACTATCATGGGAAATGATAAAGTATGTCATTATATTCTTGCATATTGTGTTGCTAGGCAACTGGTCGAGGCTGGGACATGTTCCAGATGAGGAGAGGATATTACAAGGAGGAACCATATGTCTTGTAAGTGATCAACTTGATGAAAGGAATTATATGTCAGGGAATCATAGTGGTGGATCCAGGTTCTGTCACTGTGTAGTGGTGGATCCAGGTTCTGTCACTGTGTAGTGGTGGATCCAGGTTCTGTCACTGTGTAGTGGTGGATCCAGGTTCTGTCACTGTGTAGTGGTGGATCCAGGTTCTGTCACTGTGTAGTGGTGGATCCAGGTTCTGTCACTGTGTAGTGGTGGATCCAGGTTCTGTCACTGCATAGTGGTGGATCCAGGTTCTGTCACTGTGTAGTGGTTGATCCATGTTCTGTCACTGTGTAGTGGTGGATCCAGGTTCTGTCACTGTGTAGTGGTGGATCCAGGTTCTGTCACTGTGTAGTGGTGGATCCAGGTTCTGTCACTGTTTAGTGGTTGATCCAGACATTGGTCATTTATCATGTTTACAGTCACAGGCTTGCTTGTCCAAGTTTCTTTATATAATGTTGACCGCCTCCGTGGTGTAGTGGTTAGAGCGTACGCCTGGAGTGCGGAAGGTTGCGGGTTCGATCCCCGACTGCGTCATACCAAAAGACATTAAAATATGGCACTTGTTGGTCCCTGCCTCAGGTGCTCGGCATTAATGGGTACATCAAGGACTGGTCGGCTTGGAGTCAGTATAATGTGTCTGAGTGGGGTATTCATGCTTCACTACGGCATGGTATCACAGTGGGCTAGCACTATAAAACCAGCTTAAGTCTGGGCTAGTACAAGCAGCCGCACATATACATACACACGCATGCACGTCGTCATATGAGCGAAATATTCTCAAGCACGATGTTAAACCCAATTCCACCTTTATATATTGTTCATAATGCACAGTAATACAATCCAAATATTGATAAGTGAGATGTGACTGAACATTTGCTCATTTGGGCCTACCTTAGTTATTCATGGTGTTAGTTTAAAGCCACAGTGAGCAGTAGCTGAGTAATACACAGGTTGTCAGCATGATAAGAGAGGAAAGAAGTGTTGCAGCTCCTAGACATATATAGTCTTTGTAAAACTGAAGAGCTATTAATTAATACGTCGAGTGCTTACAAACCAAGATCATAATCAAGACGAAACCTTTTTAACATGATTACATGGATGAGTGAGACAATGAACTTTGTTTGTTTGTTTGTTTGTTTAGCTGCAGTGCAAACCCCCGAGCTGACCAGATTCCATCTTATGGGTGAGTGATGCAGTGTCAGACACAACTCAACAGAATAATGTTTGTATTGGCCCAAAATGTAAACTTACAAGAAAATTTCTATTAGATTGTTTTTTTGCCCCATATACACTTCATAAATTGCCAAAAGTAAAATACTTTTAGTATTTAGATGGAATATTACTTTGACTGGTAATTTTTATTTTTACCTCTAGCCTTTAGGTTTTCTGAGGACAAAAATCCGTAAAACAAGAAATATAATTGGTCTGCCCTCAGCATGTTATGTCAAAATACAAATTAATTTCTTTCGCTCTATAAATGCTAATGTTTTTAGTTGGGTAATCAGTGGGGATATGGGTTACTTATAACGAGCCTCCTGCAACCTTTGCTTGTAGGGCACAGAGACAATATACAATGCATTTGTTAACTCATTATGTTCGCTATTCAATTTCTGTTTCATTATTTCCACAGAGGCTGTGTTGGTGCCAAGAACCTGGAGGAGATAGACAATGCAAGAGAACCTTTCCAGCCCTTCACTGTGAAGAGAGTTACCATTCCTCGGCCTGTAGAAACTGGACAGTGAGTGGAGACATGGTTTTACTTTTGTGTCTGTGGAAAACTATGTCATGGGTTGTTCAGGTTGTCAGGGAGTGGTTGGGTAGCCTAGTGGTTATAGTGTTCGCCAGTCACGCCAAAGACCCAGGTTCGATTCTCAACATGGGTACAATGTGTGAAGCCCATTTCTGCAGTGGTATTGGTGGAATATTGCTAAAAGCGGCGTAAAACTAAACTCACTCACTCAGTTTTTCAGATTTGCGACTGTAGACATAAGACACTATGTCTTTTTATCGAATAAAAAGTAATTTTTGAGATTTTCTATCCATTTCATCATACTATGCAAGCCACATCACATAACACCCATTGTTGCAGTTTTGCTCTGAAAGGTTGCACCAAATCATGTTTCGACCAGCCCTTTCTGCTATGCTATGTCTCTAAATGAACCATGCTTAGATTGAAGAATGAGGACAATTGTATGGATATATAACTTCTTTATTCTGTACAGGCGATGTTTCGCCATAGATTCTAATGTCATTGTCAAGCAAGTGATTAGACATTAGAATCTATGTCGAAACCTCTATACAGAATAAAGAAGTTGCATATCCATAAAATTGTCCTCATTCTTCATATCCTCAACTTCAAGAATGCCAATCAAAGAAGTCACGCTTAGACTATCAGGTTCAGGTTCTGAATATCTCATTTAACCAAGGTTAGTCCAATGTTGTTTGTTTCTATCAAAATTATTTGTTTTCAGAGACGTGTTAGTCTGCGGAAGTGCTTCACTATCTTCCCCTTCTTTTACCTAATATACATGCTCCATTTCCCCATTAAGACCAGGCCAAGCAGGCTAAAGCTCATCTCAATTATTCACTTCTTACTTGCAGCCGACCAAACATTCCCGGCTACAAGGGCTGCACGTTGTACCAGGGAACATACAGCCCCGCCCACTCCAGACAAGTAGCAAGTGCCTTGCCCACCACTACTGATATACACAAGTAAGTCAGCATACAGCTGTCTCCCTTTGTCTTTAAAATGAAGAAAGCCTTTTGATGAAAGTACACAAGTAAGTTTGAGCTACATACAGTTATCTCCCTTTGTCTTATCAGGATGGAAGTACGCGAGTAAGCCTGAGTGGCATACAGTAGTATGTGTATTATGATATATGGTGTGGTGGGGTAGCATAGTGGCTAAAGCGTTCACTCGTCATGCCAAAGACCCGAGTTCAATTCCCCACATGGGTACAATGTGTACCCATTTCTGGTGTCTCCCACCATGATATTGCTGGAATATTGCTAAAAGTGGCATAAAACCATACTCACTCACTCTCTTATTTTGACCCAACCCGTGAAGGTCCGGGTTAGAATGAACCTTCAGTAACCTATGCTTGTCGTAAGAGGCGACGAACGGGATCGGGTGGTCATGATCAGGCTTGCTGACTTGGTTGACACATGTCATCAGTTCCCAATTGCGCAGATCGATAATCATGCTGTTGATCACTGAATTGTCTGGTCCAGACTCGATTATTTACAGACCGCTGCCATATCACTGGAATATTGCTGGGTGTGGCGTAAAACTAAACTCACTCACTCACTTTATTATGATGAATGTAAACAACTATGTCTGTGTTATACAGTTGTCTCGCTTTGTCTTCTTTATGATTCAAAATGCAGTGTTAGCTAATATGTTCAAAGTTTAATAAGTGTTATTGCTATTGCTGATTGATAAGAATGTATACTCAGGTTTGAAATGGCCTTAGACCTTGTACAAAAATGGTTTGAAAGTCCTACATGAGAATGTTTTAATTGATCTGTTATAAATCTAAGGTCATGATTTACAACTTTGTTTCAGGTCTAAGCCAGTGTCCCCGAATAAATCTGAGTTCAAGCGAAACTCCCATATGTCGAAGATGGTGACGACTGTCCCGCCCTGTAACCCTTTCAACAATGTGGAGACGGAGATGGTGACTGTCAGTTAAAGGGTTAACCATGGGACCAACATCTGACACAATCATGACCTAACTATATTTAACCAGTTCACTTGTATCTCAGGTATCAGTCCTCTGAGCGTGTTGCTATGACGACTGAGTGTAAATCCAACAGTCTGAGATCCCAATCCCACTAAAATCAGCTATAATCAAGATGAGACTACACTCAGTAGAGCAATTCAACTTATTTCAGACAGATTTACTTATGCCTACTGTAGAAGAATTACAACTGAAAATGCCACATTTTGTTTTTTGACTCAATAGGGTTAAACATTAGGAGACGGGGTTGTTGGGTCACTGAAGACAAGCTGATGCAGGTGCCCTGCAATAGGACGGTTTTAATCTATGTGGGACTAACCAACTCAATACACTTTTTCCTTACTAAGAGAATCTTCTGTGAGTTCAGTTCCGGATTTGGTCAGATTATGATCCTTGGCCCCACAGTCATGGGGGCGGTGGGGTAGCCTTGTGGTTAAAGCGTTCGCTTATAACGCCGAAGACCCGGGTTCGATTTCCCACATGGGTACAATGTGTGGAGCCAATTTCTGGTGTCCACTGCCGTTATATTGCTGGAATAGTACTAAAAGCGGCGTAATACCTAACTCACTCACTCACTCACTCACCTTCAGTCATGTCCCTTGGGCATGCCAGAAATAAATTTTGGGTTCGAATTCCGTTTACCCCTAATTTTTTTACTAGGTTTGCCAGCACCATTCCCTTGCTTGTAGGTGTCCCGGATGTGAGAACAGGGCTCCAGATAATTTTTCAACATCAGGAGTACGTACTCCATATTTTTTCACTACAGGAGTACTGGAAAACCTTAAGAGTACATTTAGAGTACTGAGTGGAATTTAATGGCGTATCAGTAATCTTGTGTTTCGTTTCATATATGCACCACAACATTGATAGTCTTGTGTAAACAGGTCGATAAACAATAAACCAATATTTTTTTCAGATAAATACGTCTGTAAATGATTTTAAGACTGTACACCATTGCTGTGGTGCGTACCTGCTACATTTTCTAAATTATTTGCTAAAGTATTGTGCATATTTTGTATCCGTACATACGCCGATACGGCCTTTATCTGTAGCCCTGTGAGAATCATCACTTCACCCACATCACTTCAGCCGTGATGTAACTGTGCTAGTTTCCATGGCAACTCATCATGATAGAACTCTAATACTGTTCAACGCTGCGCTATTATGACTGAGCCTGCTCACTCAGTCATGGTTTTGAGATAAATGAGAAATGTGAATGATGAAATGATACAATCCAATATCAATATGCCTATTCAAATATCAACAGGATGTATTTCAATTAGAAATGTACAAATAGTTTTGATTAATAATGTGTTTTTTTTCAAATTTGTATCTGTGCGTACATCAAGTACGGTTTCAACAGTTTTAATATTGTTTGACAAGTATATTCAACCGAACAAACCAAGTGTTCATGATATATTTGCCTTTAATGTTTAGTTGCATTTTTCAATATGTTGTAATTGTAGATTCAAATGCGTTTTTTAAGTTATGCACATGCCCTATTTCAATACAAAATGGTATACTTCCAAACAAATAAACATATTTCTGCAGGTTCAATATGACGGCTCAAACCTTGATACACCAGTTGCCTAGGGGATGGTGGTTGGCGTATTCATACTTCAAAATTAATCTCAAATTTCGCGTTTTAGTGAGATGAATTTTGATTGTACTAGAACCTTAATTAGAAACCATGGAACCATGAATGAATTATATTAAACATCATTTCAATAAGTACTACCCAGGTTATTTGCTTTTGTTTGCAACAGGGACGCAGAAATATATAATTAATTAGAAAAAACAACAGCATGTCATCAATATTCATATTAGTTGGGGCAGTGGGGAAGGATGCTGGTTAAAGCATCTGCTTGTCACGCAAGGATCCTGGTTAGAATCCCCACAATGGTACAATGTGTGAAGCCCATTTCTGGTGTCTCCCTCCCCCTCCCCCTCCAAGCAACTGGGCGGTGGGGTAGCCTAGTGGTTAAAGTGGTTAAAGCGAAGCCAGGTTCATTCTCCACCAAGAGCCCCTGGTGTTCGATTCCCCACATGGGTACAATGTGTGAAGCCCATTTCTGGTGTCCCACACCGTGATATTGCTGGAATATTGCTAAAAGTGGCATAAAACCAAACTAACTCACTCACTCACTCCAAGCAACTTGTTTTACATTCAGTGACTTGAATGCAAAGTAACTGGTATATAACATAAATATTTGAGATTGTACTTATATATACAGGGTTGTATACTTGTATATATTTTCTTTCATATAAAATACAGACACGGTTATAACGTTTCTAGGTTACTAAGGATGTCAGTAAAAATATATTTTTACAGAACATTTTTACAGAACTTATTAATTTAGCGTAGACTTGTGTGTTTTTATTCATAATCACATATGTTTCTATTCATATTCACATATGTTTCTATTCATATTCACCAAACACTGTGATATTCACTGTACCCTTTATTACTGTAAATAGTTTATTAGCTTCATTATCTATTTGTGCAATTTGTGTGGATGTGAACATTTTGTTGGAACTGTCACATTCCTGTCAGGGAATACCTGATATATTGCCTGTGTCAATATCACACCTGGGCTCCCTTGGTAATAATGCTTTAGATTATCTAACCAATCAAATGCTTTGTGCAGAAATGTACTCACCTCAGAGATTAGTGTCTGCAGGCAGGTTTGTTCAGGGTTGCAGTGTCTGAAACATTTGAGTGAATAATATCGGGATATGTTTTAAAAATTCATAATTAATTATACACTTGATTGTATATTTACAGCCTTGATGCAGAAATGTGTTGTTAATGTTTAACCTGTAATTAACAGACAACAAGTAGAATTAACTTTCCATTTAAGTCAAACTGTATTATTTTACCCGTTTCAGCGTCATGTGGGAAGTTAATTTTCCACATGTAAGACTTCTGGGATAATTTTGAAACTGTGAACCATCCTCGATAATGCAGGATATTTTATCTCCTTTGTATCATGATAAGAACCCTGGATCATTTACAACCATAGCTTCCTGTACGTATTTATCTAAACAGAATAGGAAGGTCAAACGCTGGATCACTGAGGATGTCCTGTGAGAAAAGAAGAATGTTTGTGACTAGGTATTTAAAATATCATCACTCTTTCAAACAAAAATGTTCTTGCTTAATAAGCTGTTTCAGGAAACGACAGTTATGTTGTTGTGCACTCAAACATAAATTTGCTCAAAGTTTGAAAAACATATATACATGTAGAGAATTTTATAATTTCTTCAATGCTATGGAATCTAAAAGTTTCAAATATAACCAAACACATCATAGTGTTTCCTTTGCACCCAATGCTTTAACTAACAGTGTGTATATTAATTTTTACATATTTATTGTATTGTATGTTCGATCTATCAACATATTTTTGACATATTCAAATTTTGTAACATCTCATGATTTGATTTTGCATGCTAACTACTACTGAGTAATAAGGATAATTTTAATATATATTCCCTTGTGCCATCCGTCTCTGGAATGGTCTGGTACATTATAACATGAGAGAAGTGAGATAAGACTCAGTAATACTTGGGGCCATCTGTCTCTGGAATGGTCTGGTACATTACAACATGAGAGAAGTGAGATAAGACTCAGTAATATTCCCTTGGCGCCATCTGTCTCTGGAATGGTCTGGTACATTACAACATGAGAGAAGTGAGATAAGACTCAGTAATATTCCCTTGGCGCCATCTGTCTCTGGAATGGTCTGGTACATTACAACATGAGAGAAGTGAGATGCGACTCAGTAATTATATCAAGCTATATATGTGCTGAAGGTCTTTAAATACACAACGCTGGACCACACGATCAAGTGATTGACATCATGAGCATCCATCCTCCAAACTAGGATATGATGACATGCAGTCAGCCAAGTCACTGATCATGACTACCTTAAGTTATCAATAAGGTTGCCACTGACGACCAGTATTCTTACCCAGGGGGATACAAAGGAGTGGGAGAAAAGTGAACCCCCTTTTGTACAGACACCTTAAATGTCAACATGTCTTGTGTCCCAAATGATTTGGGGACTTGGGTGTGGTCTGCAAACCCCCGCAAAGCCTCAATTTTGTTTAAATCCTGAAGCGCCTCTTATACTGTGTGATATTGTTCTGTTACTACCTTGTTATCAGTATTATTTTTGATGAGACGTATCTACTCCATGCTGACACCATGGTTTTGGTTGGCATTTATTTCTAGATATCCTGTGATTGATGTTCCTCCCAATCAGTATTAGTAGCTCAGAGGGAGGCTTTTATTACAATGCCTGCTTGTTGTATTATTGGCTGATTGTGGTTGAATTTGAATAATAAACTTTTTACATTGAAAAACATGTCTCTTGTTTGTTGGGGAGTTAAGTGGTGTTCCAGATATCCCAGTGCAGTACTCTGGATGCCCGACCATATATTAGCATTACAGATAACACAGTGCAATCTGCTGGAATGTTGAATAGTGTGAAAAGATCTTGAAAAGTTTTACAGAAAACTATCGCTACACAAAGTTATAAGAAACGTTATAACGATGTAGGAGCCCAAAGCATAACGTTTCCACAACGTAAATTTGCAACGTTGTTATTACGTTGTGACATAACGTTATAAAATACTAACGTTGTGACAACGTTGTGTCATGACGTTACCAATCTACAATCTTCCCACAACGTTGTTTCATGACGTTACAAATCTACAATCTTCCCACAACGTTGTGTCATGACGTTACCAATCTACAATCTTCCCACAACGTTGTTTCATGACGTTACCAATCTACAATCTTCCCACAACGTTGTTTCATGACGTTACAAATCTACAATCTTCCCACAACGTTGTGTCATGACGTTACCAATCTACAATCTTCCCACAACGTTGTTTCATGACGTTACAAATCTACAATCTTCCCACAACGTTGTTTCATGACGTTACAAATCTACAATCTTCCCACAACGTTGTGTCATGACGTTACAAATCTACAATCTTCCCACAACGTTGTGTCATGACGTTACTAATCTACAATTTTCCCACAACGTTGTGTGTAAGCTGGGAAGGTAGTAAGTTAGGGACCTTAAATAAAAAAGTCGTTAACAAACCAAGCAGGTTGTGACATCAGTTGTTCGGAGGACCCATGTAAACTTGAGGTGTTGTCACTGTACAGAGTTGCCTCCCTTAATAGTAGCAGAATCCCATGAACATGTTCCAGATACAAGATGATGATGAATGATGATAATAATCATTATTGTTATGATTTACAGATTTAAATAATGAATGCAGCAAAAAGGGTTCAGGTGATACTGGTCGGTCGGGCTGGAACCCTGGCCCTCTCTACACGTAGCCCAGACTGCGAATGGGTCTTATCTCAGGAAGCCTTGTTGAACCCACCAAGAAAGTTGCAGAGAGTATCGAAACTCCCCAACACCACACTCTTCTCCATTCTCGGTGGGAAACCTGGGCACTCACCTGATCATGGGATCAAGAAGTGCCAGACCATGTCACCGAGGACAATAGGGAGCCTGTGGACAGTGCACGTGGGGTGACATATTTATCTTGCTTTTTCTGAACCTTGCCAATCGCAATGCTGTCAAAAGGGACAGAAAATTCAACAAATATAACGTAAATCCTTTCTTTGGCTTTGTGAAAAAGGACAAGATCAGATGTGTTGCTGGAATGTTTCTTTGGCCTATTCCAAAGAGGTTTAAAGCATCATTTTCCATGACTCCCTGGATACCTTCAGTGCCGTACCATGGGTGACTTCGGGGTCAAAGCCAGAGGCATGGCAAAGACGGCAATAGAAAC